GCACAGCTCTCCCCACTACCAAGTCTTCTGACCCCCAAAACTCAGAAGCACTTCCCAAAGACCACAGTGGTTGCACTTCACAGCAAAGCTTAGAGTCCTCTTCCCCATTTTGGAGGCTCTGGCAGGGATTTATCTGGAGCCAGAGTGCTTCCTAGAGGCAGAGCTGGAAAGAGCCCGGAGTCTTTGCAGCGGCACGCGCCAGTGAGCCGCCGGGCTTCCCTCAGTGCCATTTACAGGCTCAGATCTACGAGTTAATAATTAATGCAGGCAGCCAAGTGACTTTACTCACCGATATTCTTAATGGCCACTTGCAGCTTTAAATAAGCCACAAAATCTTGATAGTAAAATGAAGAAATCACAACCAGTTGCAATACACACTGTACATTAACCTCTCGGTTACCCAGCCATCGATCCGGAGCGGCTCCAGAAGCGCGCCAGGGACACAGCACCGCTTTGTTACGGAGCCGACCGCTCCCACCAGAAACGTTTGGGATAATCACAGGCAGGCCCGTAATTAATAAAACAGCCATTCCCCTTTTCACACTCTGAATTGAACCCTTGTTGTGGCATGTGGACCCCAAACTTTCCTCGTATACGTGCATTTATTTTCCTTGGAAACAGCAAGATTTAAAGCCCCGGTTCTTGTCGGGGGGAGACCTGACATTGCCTGGAGTACAAACGTGGCCATGAAATTTCTAAGCAAGTTTAATGAATGTAACAGTAACACAGCAGGTGTTCATTAACCTTTCCCCTCCCAGACAAGTCACAAGTTGAAAATATAATCCCTGTAGTATTGCTACTATGGGAAAATCCTAACTGGATGTCAAAAATACAATATTACTTGTCCAAAGGCTAACTCAGGAATCCTGTAAAAACGGCACGCACAAAATCAAAACCATGCAGATAGAGAGCCTGTGGGTAACAATACTTTGGTTTATGGCTTATTAAATAAATGCTGTTCCTGTATTTCCCCCTACTCCAGTATTCTGGTGCTTCTGCTCCTCTGCACAGCAGTGCTTTCACCCACACCTTCCCACTCTTCTGGCCAGAACAAATTCACTCCTAAAGGTGTTCAAAGTGCACCTGTGAAAAAGCTGCTGGCACAAGGACCGTGTTCATGGTCTGGCTTAGGAGCAGGTTTTGCACCACTTGTGCAGAGCTGTGTGGGTTTACACCACTTCATGGGGCTGATGCGTTTTGCTCTGAACATCTGCAGTCTCTTCAGGAGCTGAGAGAACCTTTGGCTCTTTAATGGAGAAGGTACAAGAAACACCCTGCACCACAAACAGGTAGTCTGCTGCAATTAGCAGGGGTGCTCGTTATTTTAAGCAAGACTTGCCACTGCTTCAAAAATGCCAAGCAAGAGAAAAACCAATGCGGAATACCTTTAAGGCTATCTTAGACAATAAAATCAAAGGCAATCTGATCATGACAGGTCTCCTTCCCTCTCTGCCTGTCAGAAGGGAATTGCTCACTCACCTGCACCCAGAATAGGGCTTTGTATCCACCACCATCATTAATTTATTTCCTGTGAATTTGTGTGAATTGGTGGGACCCCAGAGATTCGCACAGCCCACCTGTTCGCACTGCCAGCATCCCCACTGCCAGCTTTGACATTTGGAGGCTTGGGAGCAGATATCAGCACTGGCAAATGATGCCATAAACCATCCGGCAGCGCAGGAGCTGCCAGCCCCAGGGCTGTGGGCTGGGAGCATCACGCCCAGCACGTGCCTTCTTTCCCCAAGCCCAGGAAAGCAGGTTTTAAAAACACAGCACAGTTCTGGGGATGCTCAGGGGAATGGGTGACTGGGAGGTGCTTGGGTTTGGTGACTTACAGTGGGTACCTTACTGCCTGCTCTGCTGGTGCACAGAAATCTCAACACAAATTAAATTCTTCTGGTGGAAGTCACCCTTCAGTGGCTGTTAGTCCATTCACTCTAAATACACAATATTTTAATTGCTGGCATTCTGGACACACAGCTCTAAACAAGTGGGCTCTAAGTGTGTATTTTGTTAAAAGGGGACAGGGGAAGCATGATTTTTAAAACCGCTATCACAGCAATGTGATGATGATGAAATTACCAGGTAGCATGCAGGGGTCTGAAAGCTGCAGTAAATACCCCCTCACCTTTCTGAATCCTTTGTGTCACAACAGCACTGGAAACGAACCTGCAGCAGGGACTGGTATTCTCTGCTCCTCCTCCCAGACCCACAAAGATGTGGGCTCTGTGCACCGACTCCACTTTCTAGACGTGCAAGCAGAACCACTGTTGGAGTCCACAGCAGACTCAAATTTATTTATTCTACCTCTTTATTTGCCCCTCACATCATGGGAACTGAGAGTAATCAGCTGCATTCCTAATCAAGCGAAAATAGAGCTTTTAGAAAATTAATTGTCAACAATTCCTATTAAAAAGGAAACTTTCCAGCTAAAGGAAGCTATTGAGTGAGAGCAGCTACACAGACAGCTAAACTCTGCCGGCTGCAGCTGCTGCTGCCCTGTTGACTTCAGGGCTGATTTGTACCCACCAGGGATTTGGCCCTAAGAATGTATATTTTAGCAAACGGTTCTGCATCTGCAGGCATCAGCCCCCACAAAGAACAGTTTATTCACACGCGTCCCCCAGCTATCTAGTCAGAGGTTAATGCCACCGCTAGCAACAAGCATTTCTTTGCTCTGCTGCCAGCAAAAAGGAAGCAATATGTGAATACACTCAAAAGCTCTTGACAACTCACGTTTCTGGCTGCTGCACCAAACCTTGCAGCTTTGTCTGGAGCTCCGACTGCTGTGCAGATCTGTATTGACTTATTGTGTTGTGAGGGAGTCAAGGATGAATCCTGATAAACAAAGCACGAGGGCACGCTACAACTCCCAGAGACTGTGTCACGTAGCAGCACGTCAAAGGGCAGTTGTACAACTAATTCTGGCTTATTGAGGAAACTGATAAATATTTTTCTCCAGCTCAATGCACAGGGGCTGATTGAATAATGCCAAGGCTCAAGATGATGCAATGAGACAGGGTTTGCAGGGAAGCCTGGTTTCATGAGCCATGCCTGTGGGACAGAGCACTTGCTTTCCTTTTGCAGTTGTGAAGAATGATGTGAGCACCTTTGGAGTTCAGCTGTGCCTTTATTCTCTGCTTTCTGCTGCACGAGGTGCTGAGCCAGCCATGCAATTCTGAGGGCTTTTACCCCCTCTGCTAAGGGGTAAACCATAGGTCCTGAACTCAGAGATGAATGCTGATGCAGACAGCTGTGCCACTGCAGGTGAGGAAAGAGCAGGACCTTCAGCAGGGTCTGCAGGGCACAGCTGGAGCCAGCACACTCATTTCTGTGCTCCAAGGCTCAGACTCCATGGCCAATTCTGGGCAGCCCAAAGCAGCCCCAGCACCGAGACCCAGCTCCTCCAGCTCACCACCAAGCTTTCTGCACTCATCATCCAATTCTAGATCACATCAGTCTCCCAGCACTAGATCAATTTGCTGGCTGGGGCATTAATAACCCAGCCAAGCAACCTGCTGCTGCCACAGCTCTCAGAGCTCTGCACCACTGGGCCAAGCAAAAGCTGAGGTTTGATATGAATCATGTTGGGATTTCTAGGCAAAGTCCCATTAATGAAACCGCTCAGAGCCTTGCAGTTCTTAGTCGAGTACTGTAGAGATGATAGCCTTATTTATGAGTAAGATATATCTGCAGAGGGAGCAATAAACCGCAAAGCAAAGTATGAAGGTTTGCAGCAAATGTAGTAAAGTTTTATACTCCTGAAAACTAGGAATAAAAGATATAACCATTTAAAACACAGTGGATAGAAAGGGTTTCCACAGGACTGTAAAACACTCTTACAATAGTTAATTGCTAGTTTCTTGTTACAGCACAGAGGAAACTTAAACCAGGAAAAGAACTGCTTCAATCTCCATCAATGAGTAAGAGCAGAAAGAGGAAAAAAAGAAGTGCTTGGAGAGGGAGAGTTTTGTTTCAGGACCCCCTGTGCCATGCAGAGCATGAGGAACCTTTGGTCCCAGCACACCCACAGTGCCTCCAGCCCAGCTGCTCCCAGCTCCAAGCAAGTGCCTAGGGTAGGACCCAAGGTGAGGTCCCAGCAACATGCACTGCCCATTTAGGAAAGAACATAATTTAGCTAAGAGCATATCAACGTGCATGCAACAGAAAACCAGCCAGGTACCCTGCACCTGCTTGGCAGCAGGAGACTCATCGTGGTCCCACCAAGACCCGCAGCAAGGAGGAGCAGCTTCCAGGCTGCTGCCCACCTCCAGCCCCTGCTCCCAGGATGGGACTTCCAGACACCAAACATAAACAATATAAATCCAGATCGCTTGTCCACATTGTTTCTTAAAGCTATATAAGAGAGCACCCAGCTAAACTGCTCAAAACTTCTCTGTTGAAGCTTTTAAAATGCAGCATTTTTGGCCAAGTAAAAAGGTAGGCACAGGAGGAAAAAAGTACTGAAAAGCCAACAACATGCCTCCAACCAACTCTATCAAAGATGGAGCATCCTACCTCAGAGCATACCTCTGCAGAATATTTGGGTCACTAGCATATTACCTACCCAGACCCCTTGGCCTCCTGCCAGGAGAACTACCCAGGAACTTCTGCCTGAGGAAGTTTCGCAGTGCTTGAGAGAGAAAGCTGCAGCATTTGTACAAGCCCCCTTGTGTGAAACTTATATTCCAAGAGCTGTTTTAAAGTTATATTTCAGAAAATAAACACATTTTATCATTTAAGAGCACGATTGCCTCTATTTTTTTCAAATAACTTTTTCAAATAACCCTTTTTCAACAAAAGAATAGCTGCTCCCCTTCTCAGTGAAGATCTGAAACTAAAAACATTTGCTTTTCAGGGACATTCTTTATGCATTTTCTTGCAGATATAATGAAGGAGAGCATCTAATCTCTGTCTGCTTGAAAGCACATAAAGTACAGAAAAGAAGACTTGTTTCCACTCTCCAGCTCAACGCACCCATCCCTTCTCCTGGCACTCACCCGGCACCCCTGGGTGCCCTCGGCCAGGTCAGTGCCTTGGGGCACTGCATCCCCCTGGGGCCCAGCAGCAGGCATCAGACGCTTCTCAGGTGTGCTGCAGCAGGTCAGTGAGCACAGGGTGCTGCTGACCAGGGGGTCACAGAGCCCGGACCAGCCCCAGCAGCTCCAGAACTCAAACCCAGACCCCACAAAGAGCCTGGGGCTGAGCCTGCACTCCACAAGCCAAACACAAGCTAGCATGGCTTCAAACACTGTTACACATCACCATGACCTTGTCTCAGAGCAACAGGCACAGCCCAAATCACCAAAACCCTGAAACACAGCACACACCAAGAGCAAATAGAGGCCTCCTGCACACTCTTTATAACCTCCCTGGCTGCTGCTGCAGCTTAGCCAGGTGGTGAGGTGGGTGCAGGTGCTCCTTGTCATGCTGATGGGACCAGGACAAGGCACAGAGCTGCCCTATCAGGCCTCCACTCCTCTCCTCCCACCACATTTTCTGCAGGAACTTTTATTTTTTATTTTTTTTTCTTCCTTTAGTGGCAGATTTTGTGCATTATCCAGTAAAGTAACCAGAGAAACACATTCCACTTACCACAGCGTAAATATCGAAATGCTGTTTATATCAATCAGAGAAGCACTTAGGTAGAGATGACAATGGAGCCCACAGAGCCCTAATCACATACTTTGATTGAACTAAAAGTACTGGGGAAAATGGAAATCAGATGTCTAGTACTGAGATTTCAATAGAGATGGAAAACCGGGGAGGCAGAGATGTGCAGGGAGGCTGCAGCAGGCGGGGGGCACACAGGGAAGGGCCTTGCAGCAGCAGCAGCAGCAGCAGGAGGCACTTTTCTCAGGGGCACAGGCTGAAGCAGCATTGCATTTTCATTTTCAGTATTAGCTTTGCTGTTGGCATCTCCCCTTGGGTGGGAGTTTCTGCTTTGCAGCCTACCATGCATGCCTGGGGGGGAGGGTTAAAGTCCATGGGTACCCCACTGTGTGTTTCCCTCGGTTCCTATTTCAGAGCTCAGATTCCAGGTGTCACCGGGATTTATCCTAGGGCACTGTGCCTGGGCTCTGATGGCAAGCTGGAAGTGCTTGTGGTCTGCTTTGGGGTTGAAATCCCAGCGCAAAGAAGCCCTAAAGGCGAGGAGGGGCCCTTTAGAGACCTTCTAGCCCCCTGCTTCTGGGGGACACGCTGCTGGAGTAGCAGGGAGGCCTCTTTACCGTGTCCATCTTTCAAGCCGACTTTCTTTTCTGCTTCATCCCTTTGGCACCTGGCTTGCAGCAGCAGGTTGCAACGCTGGGACACGAAGCAAAGCCGGGGATGGTGCTTGTTAGCGGGAGGGTGACAGCAGCTCACCCGCCCCTCGCTCCTCGCAGCAGATCATTAAGGAAGTAAAGGCCAATTACACAGATCCCGAGCCCGTAATGCTCCCCGGGCCCTCTGAGCATCCCAGCCCCGCTGCGGGAGGGCTGCGGGGCGAGCGCGGGGCTCTGCTGCCGCTGCGTGGCCGGCACCGCACAGCGCGGGGCTCCCGCTGCTCCCGGCACCGCGGGGCTCGGGGGGGTCCCGCAGGGAGCAAGAGCAGCGAAAGCACTGGGGCAGAGCACAGCAACCCTCCCCGGAATTGTTTCAGGCGCTGTTCAGGACGTGGACCCATTCCTCCTCCTCCTCCCAGCTCCGGGAAGCACGGCGCTCACTCTCTGGCCTTAAGCACCCTCGCCACTTTTTCTTGCCAAACACCCCAATTTGGGTTTGCTGTTAAGAAGTAAACGTGTTGGGTGCTCTGTTTACAAAGCCGTTGGGCTGCAAACACCAGCTATACTGATTTGCACCGTACCGCGTCGTTGCTGTCAATTGCTGTAAAGCCACGGACACGTAACGTAATCCCAGGGATTGCCAGTAATTACAGTCATCTTTAAAGGGATTGTGTGGCTCAGGGGCTGCCGGTGGGATTGCAGTCACAGGTGGTGTGGGAGAAGTAAAACGATGGGGAAGAAAAGGAAAGCGGCAGAAGGCACCAGGAGGGATATCGGTCCTGGAGGAGGGAGGCAAGTGCAGCAGAGCCACCCAGAGCTGGTGGGAATGCTCGGAGCAGCTGTCCCTGGAGAAGCAAGCGAGTTAAATGGGGGGGAAGGAAGGCAACCCAGTGCTGAGCATGGATCATTCCCTCTGCCACCTACAATACAGAGTGCTACGCTCAGGCTGGGGTTAGCACGTGAAGAAGTCGAAGGTTGAAACGAGTCATGGGCTGCAAGTATCATAAAAGCTCCCCATGACACAAGAGCAGGGGAGGAGTAGAGGGGTTTGTCCACCTCTCTGCTGGTTTTCCTTTCACTTTCTTGGATATGAACTTAATAAAAAGCCCCAGTGACGTTTTTAGGGCTGTGGTGTAACATTTGCACCAGCGCAGACTTTCTGCTGTGCTGGAGAGCGCAGAACCTCTGACACTCGCTACTTAACGCTGAATATAACATAATTGTTTCTATAAAGACCTTTGCGACTGTCACAGAGGCACAGTAAATGCAGGAATTCAGCAGCTGCTGACATGTTCTCTGGAAATAACATGCCCAGGTCTTGTAGTGCGGGTGTCTTTAATCGCTGTTTAACTGTTCGAACATCAGCATTGCTGGAGATTTTTATGGTCTGTTTAAAAAGCACAATGATTCCCTTCATGGAGAAGTTTGTAGCTACAATTACCCTTCTGTTGCAACCTGCCAGGAGTAATTGAAAGTCTTTCTCAGCTAGAAGGCTGGGGTATCCTGCCTGCCTGTGCGCTCTCCGGCAAAAAGCGTGGTGGCACTGGCTCGAGCAGCCGCGGTGGGACCAGTGCAGGCAAGGGAAAGGCTGGCGTGGCATCCTGCTTGTAAGGACGGGGAAAGGAGGGTGGCTGAAGGGAGCGGGTGTCCTTTCACCTTGGAATGATGAGGTGGGCAGATCATTTGTTAATGTATTTCTAAAAGATCATCAGGGCATGAAATCACAGCACAGAGCAGCAGCAAAAATGGAGAAAACCAGGCAAAACTTCAGTATTTGACTTGCAAAATTTATTAACATAATACAAAATTATTTGAGAGAAATCACGAAGGGGAGGAATCCCTCTCTCAGCCTTCTGCTGCTCCCCAGTCTTCACTTCTTCCTCCCCACTCCAGGCTGAGCTCTGGCTCCTCCGTTTGCCAGTTTGACTTCCTCATAACTCACTCCATGTCTGAATGAGAAGCCAAAGAAATGAACCACAAAAAGCCTGCGGAAGTTCACTTTATTGCCGTAACTGTAGCTGTTATTTTTATCTATCTGCTTCTCTCCCTCTTTGTACAGGTGTCAGTCACAGACATTCAATGGCCCTAATGAAAATTGCATATAGGGATAAGGTGTGCGGTTATTGTATTAGCTGGCGTGACCCATTCTTTTAGGCTCTCCAGTGAAAGAACTGTCATCTGCGATGGCTTTGTCTGACCGAGCTCTCTGTCATTTGACGTAATTACGAGTACCTGTTTTCTGGTAGGATAGCAGGGCGTGGAGAATTTTCGAGCATTCACTTTCAATTGAACAGCCCCATTACTGCAGCACTGAAGAAGATTGTCATCTGCACAGGGAAGTCAGCTGAATAACCTGAGGAGCATGAGTGCAATCAGGCACGAGAGAAGGCACAGCTGACATCTGCAATCAGTGCTGAGGATAGAGGCATTACTACAGACACAGGACGGACAGACAGATGGACTACAGTCCTGTGGCCTCATGGACTGTCGGACACAGGTGAGGCCGAGGGGAGTTCAGAAATCTGTAGCTAGAGAGTAGCAAGCTGTAACACAGGCCAGCACTGAGCCTTAACCAAGGTGCATCCCATCAGAGTTACTGTCTCTACACTGCATTTCCCTGTTACATTTCAGAGCTTCAGTAGAAGGGAATTATTTTACATCCACGCCCTTTCCCAGCCTGTGAGCTGGGACTAGGTGGTAAGATCACGCACGTGCAGCAGCAATCTGAGAACTAATTGCTCTTCTTGCCTCCACTGGTCTGACATGAACACTGTTTTCTCAAGTAGCTGTATCAGGTCAGGATACAAATGACGCTGGAGAGAAGTGGTGTCTGGTATCTGTGACTTGTGTGTGTCACCTGCAAGACTGACACTGATTTCTTGGGCTTTTTCCTTTGCAATGTAAGAGTAATTGTTAACAATGATTAGTGGTGGAACAGGAAGACTGCTAAGACCCAACACTAAGAGCCTAATCTAAAGGTGAAAACCAAATTAAGCAGAAACAAGCAGAATTGGTAAGTCTCTGTAATGTTCAAGAACATAAGCTCCTGTATACTAAGAGTGTAAATAGGAAGCTTACAAACATTTTGTGCCCCGAAAGCAAATACCTTTGAGGGTTTTATTAAAGAGCAAAATGGGAATAAAGCAACAAAAAAGGCAAAAACCACAACAGGATTGTAGTATGCCTGTAAAAAAATCTGAAATTGTTTTCTCATTCCCCTGTTGTGCATTTTTTTTGGGTCTTGGCCATGCAAGACAGCAACAGGCCAGTCTGAGCCCATCACCATGTTCTGTGGGTCCCTCTGAATTTATCCGGCTGCGTACCGCACACCGTGCAAAACTGCAACATCCATCTGAAGATGCCCAACCCAAGTGAAGAAAAGCTGATGATGGTAAAGCTGTCAAACACACTTCCAACCAAACCTACGGGGACCCAGTAAGGAAAAAAAAAAACACAGAAGAAAGCAAATGAGGCTCCAGGGAAATTAAGCCAAAGTGGAAGTCCTGGCAGAGTAGGGTAATAATTTCCTTTCTGAATGAGTAACTGTTTAGAATTTAACCAGGCGAACACGATTAAACCAAATGAATATAAATTCTAGGTGCGGTAGTAAGTAATGAACTGGAGAAAATGAACAGGGCCTAATTAACAAGAAAATAGGATATGCCATAATGCATTGAAATCTAATGAAAAATGAGGGCTGAACTTCCCCTTTCAAAAAATTTCCAGATGGAAAATATCCTTGTTTTACATCCAGCGTGTTCCAAAATATCCAGGGGAATTACAGTTGTTTCGAACTGTACTTACCATGCAATCAAACATCATGGGAAAGGGGAGCTATTTCGTAACACACTGGAGAAGTACCTTAGCTGAGAGATGGGTGTCCAGAACCCTGCTCAAACATAAAAGCAAAAGCGCTGTCTTCACATTAAGAGTAATACAGCTGTTCAGAGGAGGAATGCAAAGCAGCCTGCGTGTGTTTGTGCCATTACAGGAGGCAGTATTTGGGATGGTGGCGAGTATTGCAGCAATAAAAGGGAACGAGCCAACGGTTCCACACTCCACTCAGCGCTGTGCTCACTTCCTTTTTATTATTATTACACAAAACAACCGTGCTCATCCTGGTGGCTCACGGCGAAGTTACCTCACCCTGGTCGTGGCTGGGCTCTGGAGCAGGACCTGCAAGAGAGGGAGGCGGTGAGAACAGGGGACACCGAGGGGACACCTCACGGCCTGGCCATACCGAGGCCGCCTCACGGCGGGGCGCACCGGAGGGAGCCGTTGGCGACTCCGCGCTCCCCCCCGCAGCCCTCACACCCCCCTCAGCCCCTAATTATGGATTTTTGGCCACCGAATTTCCCGGTCGCTGCCTTTTATCCCCGTCCCCAGCCCTCCCCTCACGCAGCCCCTCAGCCGTTGACGCCGCCCGCGGCCGGGCGGGGCTCCCTTCCCCCCCCTCCCCCCCGTGACGTGGCCCCGCGCCGTCCGCGCCTGCGCAGCAGCGAACGGCGGCGGCGGCGGCCCCGGAGGGCGCGGGCGGCCGGGCCTCACGATGGGGGCGGCGGCCGCCGAAGCGGACCGGACGCTGTTCGTGGGGAACCTGGACCCGCGGGTGACGGAGGAGCTGATCTTCGAGCTGTTCCACCAGGTGCCGCCGGGCTCCGCGGCCGCGGCCCGCTCGTTTTAGCCCCGGCCCCGGCGGGGCGGGGATGGGGCGGGCGGCTGGCGGCGCCATGATGGGGAGGGGCCGGGGCGGCGGACGGCGGCCGCGGGCGGACAAAATTGTGCGGGAGCGGAGCGCCCCCGCGCGGCCACCTCCTGGGGGCCTCCTCTTTCGTGGGTTAAAACTTTAAAATTTTAAAACTTATTTTAATTATTTTATTTTTTTTAAGAGTTTGGGGAGTTGCTCCGCTCCCGCTTAACGTCTCTCGTGTCTTGATCCGCAGGCAGGGCCGGTGATTAAGGTTAAAATCCCCAAGGACAGGGATGGCAAGCAGAAGCAGTTTGCCTTCGTCAACTTCAAGCACGAGGAATCCGTCCCCTACGGAATGAGCCTGCTCAACGGCATCAAGCTCTACGGGAGGCCCATCAAAATTCAGTTCCGATCAGGTACCCAGGAAAAGAAACACAAAACAACGCAGCTCCCAGGTGGGAAGCAGAGCTGCCGCCTTCCTCCTCCTCCCCAAACCCGGCAGAGGTGCACTGAGTTGGTCAGCGATGGTTGTTGCTCACCCTGCTCATCCAACTGCCCCTCACCTGCTAGCCGATGACGTTGTAGAACAGTGTTGTCACACAGGCATGAGCTTCTGCCCTTGGGTTTTGACCAGGGACCCACCTGCCACTTCAGGGGGCATATAAACCCCGGGCTGAGTCTTCTCCTTTGTTCGATTATTCGTTCTGTACCCTTGAAAGCCCCTCCAAATTATACCAGCAGTGAAAGTTGCTGCTGACTTCAGTTAAGTGAGGCGTTTTGGCCAGAATGTTGCAAGCCTGATTGCGTCTTTCCCAACTGGGCATTAAGACAGATGCGGTATCTTGTTTTGGAAACCAGATTGTGTGCTTTTGCAGATCGCTGGTGAAACTTGAGAGCTAATTAAGCATGCGGAAATTGTTAGCATCTTACAAGTTCATTTCATATCCAAGTTAATCTAACTGATGTTTGGTGGTCTCATGAAATGTTTGTTTCTCTTCAGGGAGCAGTCATGCATCTCAGGACGGTAATTCATCTTCTTTACCACATGGAACTGCCAATACCAGCCCATCTGGCACAGCACATCCAGCTTCCAGCAGGTAAGAGTCCGCACTGTAGGTACACGTGTGCAGTTCAAGTTAAAAAACAGCACTGACACACTCAGCTTTCCCAGTTCTCATTCCAAGCACAACTTACTCTTTCTTCCCTATGGAATCAGTACTTGCATTATTATTACCTTCAGTACCCTGCGTTCTTGGTACCTGAATACCTAATGCAAAAAGAAGAGGGTCATCTTGAAAGTGACTTTCCAAAAGATCTGATTGCCAGAGCTTCTGGCCCAAGTCACATTCCTGTTTAAAAACTGTTTTCCTATGAGTATGGAAAAGATTTGGTGATGTGGAGAGAGTTCTGCCAAATGCACAATGCAAGCGTGTCCGCACTACTTTCTCACAGCAGTAGTAAGTTGAGGGGAATGCTTGCCCAGTTATTCTTTTTCTAATTGTAGCAGTGTGACTGGGCTGCAAGTGCCCCTTAGAGTGGCAATAGTCTATGTTAGAAACATTTAAGACTAAAACTCCTAATCCCTTTTTCTGCAGATACGATAAGAGTCCAGATAATGCGGTAGCAGCAGGATTCTCATCTGTGCAGAGGTCTCTGCCGTCTCCTGATAACCTTCAGAGACAAGGAGTGGTAAGCTGTGCTGTTAATAGTGTCTAAACCTGCAGTCACTCACAGATGACGGATAGCGTGAAAGAGCTGGCTCTAATTTTGAGTACTTAGATGTGTCCTATAATGATTGTATTAGGTCACAAGAATGTATTTTGGGAGCGTTGAAATAACCATTCCAAAAGACTGACAGTGCCTGCTACCAAGCTGTGTGACGTCTGGGTGGTCTTGGAGCTTTACGAGTCCAGCTGTAGATAAAGCCCTCGATAGCAGCCGTTCCATGCATCTGCAGTCAGTCTCATATTGTTAGTTCATTCTCATTTTCCCTTGTATTTGCAGCATGATTCACGTGCAAGTCAGAAGCCAGCACAGGAGATTAAAATTTATCAGGACCCCGTGCCATAGAATAGTTTGAGCGCTCTGCCAAAAGGAAAGAGCATTGAATCCACCGAGCCTTTTTCTCTTCTGTTTTCCAGATGCACGGTGCGATGCGGCAGCAGTCCCAGTACGGTGGGAAGTATGATCACCCTGGCTTTGCTGCCTCCGGGTACCAGCACGGGCACTCGTTTAACCACTCGTCAGCCTCGCAGATGCAGTGGCGCCCAGACGTCGCAGCGCTGCGCAAGACCAGGATGGGCTCCCACCCCTATTACTCGGACAGTCGGCATTTTGGCCGAGAACAGCGTTTTGGGGACCGTGGGCCTGACTATTGCAGGGGCAAAAGGGATGACTACGGGTTTGAAGACAGAGGCCACGACTCTGACCATCATTACCGGGGGAGCAGAGACGACTTTGTCTACGAAGACAGGAATCGTGAAGGCTGGAGCCATGATTACGAAAACAGAAGAGAGAACTACAGAGAGGGCAAGTGGCGCCTGTCACGGCATTAACAAGCACTCAGTAGGCTTCAAAGAACTTTATGGGAAACTTTAACCTGTTTCTAACTGAATCTGTGTAAAATAAACCCATCATAGTTACCATTTAACATTTGTAAAACTACTAGCAGAATGCTCCAAAACTAGCATCTTATTTTTAAACGTGTTAACGGCACCAAACCTGTCTGAATTTAAAAAGCGCTTGGACTGTGCACTTAGTCACAGGGTCTGAGCTTTTGGGCAGACCTGTGCGGTGCCAGGAGTTGGACTCGATGATCCTTACGGGTCCCTTCCAACGCGGGATGTTCTCTGATTCTGATAACTCAACACCTCAGGGCTCTATGCAAGAAAACAAACGTGCCACATTTTGAGAGTTGTTGCTGGGTGCTTGTATTATAACCAAGAGTGTATTTTTGTAGGAGGAGGGCTCTGTCAGGTGCAGGCACACACCCCTTGAAGCAGAGCCCGAGGGCTGTGATGCTTTGTGGCACCTGACGCGCGTTTCCAACCGTTTTGATACACAAGCGATTCCTTTTGAATATTCCTTGTTTTGGAGAAGAACATTAAAAGCCTCCCCGTGGATAAACCATACACACGCGAATGTTTTCACAGCCTGGTTTTATTCGTTCAGTTCACCCCCGTTTGTACCCATTTGGCCTTTGAAATGTGCTTGGGAAAAGCTGTGGTGGTCGGAGAGGTGTGAGAGCAGCCGGTTAGCGCCTGCACCGACCACATTCCTTCCCCCGAGGGTTGAAAACAACGTGTTTTAACCAAAAAGCCACCTTTTAGCCCCAACCCGCTGCCGCCATAGCCCGGGCCGCAGCCCCGCCCGCCGCTCCCGGCGCACCCCGCGCGCCCGACTCACTCGGAACTACAACTCCCAGCAGCACTCGCGCTCGCCGCCCGCGCTCGCCCTGGGGCCGCCGCCGCGGGGCCCGCCGGGAAACGTAGTTCGGCGGCGGCGCTTTGCGGCCTGGCCGGCGATGCTCGGCGGCAGCCGCGGTGGCCTCGGTCGCCTGCGGAGCTGCGCCGGGCGGCTGTGGAGGGGCCGGCGGCGGGCGGCGGCCATGGCCGGCGGCGGCATGGGGCAGCGCATGGTCTGGGTGGACCTGGAGGTGCGGGGGAGGGCGGCGGGAGAGGGGGGGTGCGGGGCGGCGGAGAGGGGGGTCCGGGGGGGTCTGGGGGGGGTGGCCGCGGTGACGGTGCCGCTCCCCTGTGTGGCAGATGACGGGGCTGGACGTGGAGAAGGACCAGATCCTGGAGATGGCCTGCCTCATCACCGACTGCGACCTCAACGTCCTGGCTGAGGTGAGCACGGAGCCGGGAGCGGCCTCACGGAGCCTCCCCCCCCCAGGCCCCATGAGGGCAGTGCTGGCCCCGGGCTGCCGAATTGCCCCGAACGATCCCCTCAGGAAGGTTTGGGTTACCTTGTGCTTTCCCTCCCTGCAGGGCCCCAACCTGATCATCAACCAGCCCGACGAGCTGCTGGATGGCATGTCCGAGTGGTGCAAGGAGCACCACGGGAAGGTGAGCAACCCTGCCAGTCCCATGTCTTTGTAGCCATGACGTAACTCAGAGGTTCTAGTTGCAGTACAGGCCTCTAAAAAGGGACAACAGAGCTGTGCTGAACACTTTTTGCAATCAAACAGAGGGGATGAAGAATGGGAGAACAGTAAGTATCATCCTTATACACCAAGGAGCCGCCGTGTAGCATTTTACCTACAGTCACAAGGCATCCGTGGCATAGCCACATGTTACATCTGTGTATCTATAATCTCCATCCCCTGTTGGAACCTGTCAGATTGTCCCGAGGTATCCTGTGCTTAGTCAGCTTGGCTTATAATAAGTTTGAATAGTGCTCGAAGGTACTTTCTGACTTGAGAATCAAAAGCGTCAGCGAAAGCTGACAGTGAATGAGTCCAATAGAAGGCTCGAGCAGCAACAGCACACAGGAAAGCTGCAGACTGTGAGACCAGCTTCGGTGGGTCATAGAATAGGACCCTCTCACCCTGATACATGCCACTGATTCCAGTGTTCCAAAGTGGACACTCAGCATTGTGCCTTTTGGCAGTGAGATTAAGAGCTGGGTTCAGCTCCCTGCTCTGCGTGCTGAGCTCTGCCATGGCTGGACTCTGCAGGAGTCCCAGTCCCTGTGCGGCAGTGGGCTGGGTTGCATGGACTCCTCTGACAGCTCCTCATGTTGAAGCCTGTTCTGTGTTGCGTAAAATAATGCAAATAATGATTCCAATACGGAAGAAAACGACGTGGTATAACGTATAACGTCCCAACTAAAAATAGCTACAGGGTTGGTGTAGAATAGTCCAGAGCTGGCAAAACAGAAACTTAGCTGAAAATTAAGGTCCTAGTAGAATTCAACAGATCTGTTTACTGTAAACATTGGATTGCTGTTTTTGCCTGTCCCCCTCAGCACCGTAAGCCTACCTTATTTTTTTCACTGAAAACTTAACTTTTGTAAGAGTAGATTAATTTTAGTTTTTAGTCACCAAGGAAAGCTTCCTCCTTGCCCGTAGCAAGAAAGTGAATGGATTTTCCAATCCCTGATTACAAATTTAAATTCAATGTAGTTTTCAATTAAGTGCTGAAGTTTTAAGACACTCACGGCCCCTCCTTCCTCCCCCCCGGTAGCATCTTACTCTCCCTGGGAAGGATTAGTAAGAGTTTGGAAAATGAATATTAATTTACTGCGATGGGAGCTTTTCCCCTTCTGCAGCTGAGGACACAAACTCAACTTCAGTTCACAAGTGAATTGAAGATGGTAGCATTCGTTATCACTGCTCCTGAGGAGCTACTTATTTTTAATTGACTAAGAAAAGAGAAGCAATTAGAATATAGATGAAAATGCAGCCACATAATGAATTTTTTAACCACCACTTGGATCTGTCAAGTAGATTTTTGCAGCACAGTCATGGAAATATATAGCATAGCCAGATGGAAAAAAATCGCTGAGAACACTTAGAGCAGATCTGACATTTAACTGTTGAAAAAAAGAAGGATGAAGCTTTTCTGATTTATAGTTATCTTGATAAACACTTCAGTCAGAATTCTGATTATTTCTGTTTGTTTACACATACTACTCTGTGCTGGGGAGGCAAATGCCTCTCGTTAAACAGAAATATAATACTCTCCTGGATCATGTGCGTGCAGGTGTATAAACGAGGCGTGCATAATGTGTCAGTAGTTGAGAGTAACACCCTGTGAAGTATAGCAACAGAGAGGAAAATCACAGGAGAGGCAGTGTCCTTAGGACTGCTCTATGATCGTCTTCACTTGCGATGGTTTGCGTCTTGCGAGTGGTGCCCTGAAAGTCAGCAAGGCCATTATACCTCCTTATGGAGGTATAAAGGCGATTGGGTTCCCCAGAATACCTTAAAATACAAAGTGAATTTGTACTCTTAATACTTCTGGGCATGCTGGGGAGCAAGCAGTACTTTACCGCTTGATCTTTTGCTGTTGAGTATTTCTAGAAATATCTTTGATGGTAGCATATATATAATTTATGACAAATGGCTCTTTTCTTGCAGTCTGGCCTTACTAAGGCGGTGAAGGAGAGTAAAATTTCATTGCAGCAGGCAGAGTATGAGTTTCTGTCCTTTGTACGACAACAAACACCTCCCGGTCTCTGTCCTCTTGCAGGTAAAATGTGTTCTTTCTTAATAATAATAATAATGTCATCCCTCCTGCAGTTCCCAGCTGGATGCTGAAAGGCCACTTGATGCACGTGGCAGGGATGCTTTAGTTTTCTGTGCCGAGATCTAACATGCGAATCAGAACCTGCTAGTAGAGAAAGGCATCATCTATTCTGCTGATTCCCTAAAGCAAATATTGCACATTGCTACTGCAGGAAACTTTGAGGGTTTTTTAGCATTAATGTTTCATTGTACAGTTACAATTGGGAAGGGCAACTTAACTGCTGAGAGCAATCTGTGACCGTAAAATCGGAACAGTAAACCAAAGTGTCTTTTCTTCACTATGCGTATCGAATGAAGCACCAAATGCCAATCTGCCAAATATCCTGTTACCTGGAACTAAATTCAGGACATTCACATAGGGCTTTAGGATTATGGCTAAATGAAATTAATACTGATGCCTGTTTTCACTTGGTGAAAAACCCGATGCTTTTACAATTCTTTGATACTTATCTGTGCGATAGAAATTGTAGTAACTGAAGAATTAATATAGGGATTATGTATTTAAACCATGTGTGATCCTGAAATGAAAATCTGACAAACCTTTACAATCATATTTGCTAGAAAATGAATTATATGAGCTGCCTGTGAATAGCTTTTCGTACCCTATGATCTTTTCCAAGCATGCATAGCCTGTTTGTAGTTTAGATGTTCATAGTAGCTTTGCAATGTCTTTGAAGAAACATCTTGTTTTGTGTCTTTGTAGGTAACTCTGTTCATGCAGATAAGAAATTTCTTGACAAATACATGCCTCAATTCATGAGGCATCTTCATTACAGGATCATTGATGTGAGCACTGTCAAAGAACTTTGCAGGTAAATATTCCCCAAATTGAATAGTTATGTGAAAGATAATCTAGGGAAGCCTGTTAAGTGGCACTAACATGCGCTCTTCTAAAACAAGGTTAAAGGCTGCTGGGAGATGGCTGTGTGCAGCCGTCTCATTCTTTCATCTCTTCTGTTCAGGCTGATGGACAGAATGAACCATAAAGTACTCGGGGAGTGATGTACTCTGCCATTTGCTGCACTTTGATTCACGGGGTTGTGGCTTCTCCATAAGCCAGTGAAACTGAACTTCTTTCACCAATTGTAACAAACCCACAGCAGCCACTGGACACGTCAGTGAATCCCAATTTCCTTTTTAAATGGTGGTTTTTTTTTGTTTTTTCCTGCTTACAGACGCTGGTATCCAGAAGAATATGAATTTGCACCAAAGAAGGCAGCTTCTCACAGGTGAGGTTCCTCGTTATAACAAAGTAGAGCTTGTCATGCAGGAAACATGCTCCTCATGAGCAGAAGCTGGTGCTGCGTGCTTCCTTTGATTCCAGGCATGTTTGTTCTAATGCAGAAGACAGCAGAGGTTGTACGATTCTGCTCCCTGTCATATAGTTTGTATTCTCCAGTCAGAAGCCTGGTTACTGTAAGGGAAGGAGGTATAAACATACACAGAGTCAGAAACTTTCTTATCTGTTCTGATTCACTTTGTTTACTATTCAAGCCGAGATGCTTGTTTGGCAATGTAGATACATCTATCACTTTTTAGACATCACAGTGAGAAACCATGTGAAAAAGCTCGCTGAACAGTGCTTTTTTTCTGTCCTTGAATTGGGCAAAGTTGTTCATAGACAAACTAAAATTGGAAGACTGCACATGGGGAGATAAGAGTTCTGGTCCTGGCTATTTCCCGAGCTTGTAGTATGTCAGAGAGCGTGTTCTGCTTTCTGTGAAAGGATTTCATTTTGAGTTATGCTCCTGCCGGCATCTAAGACACCCTTAAAAGTTGAAGTTGCTTTGAGGTTTTGGAAGAAAAGGTGCTGTGTAGTATTAACAATTTTTAGAAAGCCACATTTTCTAAGATTTTAAGTTCTTCTGTATAGAGGAGATGGTGGGTCTCACACAAATCCCTTGGGATCCATAGGCTTTGGTAAGTCCATATGCACAGTAAGTGCATCCATTTTGCTTTTTCATCTGCTCAGACTAAATGTGGAAAAAAGAGCAACACACCTATGCATTGAAATGTCTACTCTGGGCTTTCTGTAGGCATTACTTGGTGCTTCTAGCTATGACATTCCTAAATGACAGTGGAAGGAAGTAACTGCATCTTTACCTCTTTGTTCTGACATGGCCTTGTTGGGCAGGAGAGGAGGTTTTGGTATAAAAAGAGAAGGGATGTCTTGTAGAGATCTTGGTGGAAATCACAGGCAGGTGTGCTGCACATTTGAAAACATGCAGTAAGATTCCTACTTCTGCACAGACCTTACATTCCTAGCAGGCAGAGCATGGTAACAAAAAGTACTGGGTCAAAACAAGTCAGTCACCCTTGCTCACGTAGCAAGCAGATGACTGGCCAGAGCAGGAGCCACAAACGGGTCTCCTGAGTCCTTGTCTCTTTGTTGTCTCAGATTAATAGTGAATTGTTTTTAATAGTTGAAGCTGTAGAACCTGTTGGCTTTCAAGAGCTTGTATGTCGCGCAGTGACATAAACTAATAAGCTGTACATTACTCCCTGGCACGTCAGTGCTGGTGGACTTTTATTGCTTTCCACATGCCCAAGAGTAGCGAGGGTTGTTTTTATTTCTGACAGATTTGTGATCCATGCATATCAGAGTTTTATTTCTCACAGCCTGGAATTTCTTAGAAGCATTAGAATCCAGATGTAGTTGAAGATGTGTGCAGGCATTTTGAAGCCCTCCTTAATTCTCTTTCAGAGCACTTGATGACATCAGGGAAAGCATCAAAGAACTTCAGTTCTACAGAGATAGCATCTTCAAGAGGAAAACGGATGAAAAGAAAAGGAAACTAATAGAGAATGGAGAAAGTGATAAAACTGCCAGCTGATTTCTCATCTTACCAAGCCATCCCATAGCACATACTAGATGTATCTCCTGTTTCTTTTCTGTTTGCCAGTCTTTTGAGAAGCTGCACCCTTATGTTACCCTGTTTCTTAGCAGTTGATAAAACGCAGATGGAAGCCTGAGTTACTGCTTCTTTTCTGTTTGAGCAAGAAATCTACTACTCAACTCTCAGCAGCTTCTTTGTTTGTACGTACTAGGTAAAATATGCTGTTTGATACTCCTCTTCCTCTGGTTTTAGATGCAGTCTTTCACTACACAATAAAAACAGTTACGTTGAAGGATGATATTTTCATACAGTCTTTCTTTTGTGTGAGACGTAAGTTGGGTATGTCAAGATGCTAGGTGAACCAGCCTCTTGTAAATTGGCAAAAGAAAATACGATTATTTTCACGATATGGTAATTGTATATTCTTGCTTTGTTTGGGGGTATTTAACGAGAAAGTCCTTTGTGCAACATGTCCATTAAGGAACGGAATGAAAGCTGCACATCAATAGTACAGTCTACTGGGTATCACACACTTTGGCATCAAGGCATTGCCCCTCTCCAGCTAATGTGCTGCAATTCAGGTAACGAATCTGTCTTCAGTTCCAAGGTGAACACTGGTTTGCTTTATAAAACCACCAGGTGGGCAGGATCTGTGTGCAAAGAAGCCGTGTGAGCCACTTGGTTTGTGAGCAAGCAGATGACATTTCAATTTATAAATCACTCTTAAGTGCTTCAGGTCAGGATAGAAGGTAATGATATGACAGCTGGATCAGCTTTTAATAATCACTTTGAAAACGCCTAGCCTGTAATATTTGCGGCTTTCACAACATATTCACGAGACTAGGGAACATGAAAAGTTTTTTGTATGACCTAAACTGACCTGTGGGCCAGCTTTATGAAGAAGGTATTACTACTCAAATGCTTCTTGGACTGTGGTCCAAGAAAACGTATATAAAAGGAATGTGTGCTGGGAGAGGGACCTGAACTTTTCTTTTTTGGTGCAAGCAACACCATCCAGCAACACTTCAGAACATTAAAATTAAAGCAAAAGCATTTAAAAATATTCTGTTTTATAACAGAAGCATAATACACTGCTCAAGGGGTAAGTTAACTACCCAGCTGCATGCACAGCCCAGGCTCAATGCATTTGACAGGCAAAACTACTGCACTGGGGAGCCCAGGGAGCAGCCAGCCCTGTGCCTCAGCTTCACACTACTCTGGCATCATCTGTTGCTGCATTTCTGAATTGCTATTAACCATCCGAGACGGCAAGTGGAACACTCCAGGCTTCCTGAGGCAGCAAGGTACAGACAGAGCTTCAGCATTCGTGGTAACCACCCCTACCTCATCCATCTCTAGATGGCCTCAGCAACACCCGAACTGCTGCTCATGCATTGCTGTGAGAGCTGCCTGCAAGTGCAGAATAAAAAAACAGTGCTGCACCTTCACACACTCATGTGCCTGTCTCTTGTTTCCTGCTCGTTTTTTCCTTCTTTTTCCCATTTTCAACGCCATTTATGACATCTGATACTTCCATTACTCCCTTGGCAGTGTGAATGAATAGGTTAAAAGCTTGCTAAGCAGTGTACAAGGTTTACTAGAAGTGCATGAGGAGTCACGTTGATTTAACATGAGCATTATGTGTTCATTAAACCATTTTGTGCATTCGTCTTTTTAGGACGGAGCCCAGAGCAGCAGGTTCATGCTCTAATTGACGGGGAGGAACACCCCCAGTACAGTGTTACGGTATGAGAGAATAAGTGCTGGTCAATTTGATCAAACCAGCAGAACCAATTTGTTTTCAAAAAGAAATGTGTCTTCTGAGTTTTATTTGGCCAAATAAAAAAAATAAAAAAACCAAAGTCATCACCTGTTCTACATTAATTCATTGAGAATGCAAAGGGTATCGTGGAAAAAAAGAAGCACATAGCCCCCCAGTGGTTTTGGAAGAGTCGTTTTTCAGAGATCTCCGTTTCCCTGCTGCAGCCTGGCCTTGTACTACAGTCTGTACTGATATGCTGCTGCTGAAATAATACGAGAAGGGAAGATTATCATGTTTACTTTCCCACACAGAACAAAAACCTGTTGCTTTTCTGCTCACACTTTGTAAGCAGCATATGTTTTACATATTGGCCTTTTATAAGATCACGTCTTGAGTCATCTGAATATAAAACCGTCCTTTCATACATCGCAGCCCTACATATAACACCACAAATATCTTATCTCCTATGCATATGGCAAAAATGTCAGATTGCTGCGGAGACGTCCTCTTCGTTTCAGCTAAACATGACTGGCTGCTGATTCCACACCGATACCCACTCACCACTCATTAATATTAACGTGGCACTCGCTCTGTTGCTGTTGGCACAGGGCAGGCACTCTGTCGGTGTCCAGGTCACCGGAGCTGCTCCAGGAAGCCCACGAGAGCTGCACACCCCCACACTGTGCCTGCCTGCTCCCCCTGTGTGCCAGCGAGCTTGGCAGCCCCCCAAATGGAGCAAGAGGTTCCCCCCTGTGCCATCGTAAGGCTGCATCCTTGCTCCCGTGCTCCCACAGCACCAGAGGGACACAGGGTCACCTGCAGGTGCCAGCAGTCCCCTTTTCTCCCACACCAAACTGGGATAGGACTGGTTCATTGAGCACTACCTACTGAGCACTCCCCACTTTACCAATATACTGGCTCAATTAAAAAAAAAAAAAAAAAAAAAAAAAAAAAAAAAAAAAAGCACTATTTCTGCTGTTTGTCCTGCAGCGACACCACTAATCCTGCTCCTGGTGCCAAAAAAAAAAAAAAGCCACCACACCAAATGCTGATTCTCAGAAAAGAAAAAGCTCTCTCCTGACATCCAGTACCTCCGCAGCTTGGAGGTGCTGGTGCTGCTGGTTTCAGCGCAGAGAAATTTAGCCTGAAGCTACAATCCAAAAACAAAACACCGTCAATAAACAGCACAGAAATCCTCTGAGAGCCACAATCACAGTGCTCCTCTGCCCGAGGAGGCCAGGGCCAAGCAGTGGCTCCCTGCAGGGCTGGGGGCGAGCACCGACCACAGCACGCCAGCGACCTGCCGCACGTTGTGGCCACCTCCCAGCCTCTCACCGCCACCTGGAATCTCTGCAAGCCTCTGGCAATGTTCTGGACTCGCTTCTAATAGAAGCAGTTGTCAAAGAGATCCTTTTCAAAGTCACTGGGATTCGCGCACAGCTCACGTTAGACCTTAAGCCCCCGGGCACACTCTGAGGCTTAACACAGGGCCACGTTTCCTTGCTGGTCTGGGTGCTCGTGGAATTTAGCGTGGGTCCTCACAGTGAAACCGGGTCCACCGGAGCACCAGCCCACTGTCTGCTCTCTGTCCCTTGCTGGCCACCAGCAGCAAGTCCTCTGCTGGGGCGGGAGAGCAAAGGAGAAACTGCAACCGTGCCCTCATCAAACAGATCCAACTTAAAAGCCCAAAGATTCACTGCTAAAGCTTTTGATTCAGCAAGAAACGTAGCCTTAAGTGTGAATGAATAAATAGCAGCTGTGGAGCAAGAGCTGCCATCTTCTCTTGTAAAGCCTAAGGGTGAGATTAGGCTGAGGTCCGTCTGCACGCCTTGGAGGTCCACGCGAAGCCCCTCTGGAGCTGGTGGGATTGTGCCATGGGGCAGAGCGGGCAGGATGCCTGCAGCTGGTGCACGAGGTGGCTTTTTGCACTGCCAAACACGCCGGGCACCTCATTGCCATGGCTCGTGGTTTGGGCACCTCACTGGCTCCAGTTGGAGGCTGTGGACGTCTTACCAGCCTGGCCCAGCTCCCACCACAGCAATGACAAAATCCACACGGACACCAGTGGCAACAAGATTTGCTTCCAAACACTTCAACGTCTCTGGTAACATGTCAGAATATTGCACCCTCACTCCCCTGGTGCAGGCAGTTACTCATCCTATCCATAATTTAACACCATAGAGCCCAATAACGCACTTGAATTAAAGCTTATCTTCTAGGAACCCATCCAATCTCCACTTGAAGATGATGGTGAATTTATCATTTCCTTTGTTAAAGCACTCCAGTGTTTAATTACTCTCATTGTTATGAAGGTGTGTGTTATTCCAAAGCTGCGTTTTTCTGTCTCAATTTTCCAACCCCTGGTGGGTTTCGGTCCCCACCCCCTAACAGAAGATCCCCCCCATATCGGGTACATCCTCGGAAGGCAGGCTGTACATGTTCACCTTGCTCAAGGAATGGGGATGCTGTAAATCATCACTGTTTTTACAAAACGTGTGTTTATTCTTCCCTGAGAAGTAGCAATAGTTTTAAATTAATATCAGATAAATGAACTTTTATTTCCATCACTGGAATCAGTTAAGCAGTAAGTCCTTACTGCAGAGCTTTCACTGTGAGATAATTGACCATGGGTGTTATTTATTCTGCATGGAAAATGAAGGAACAAGCATCTTCAAGCTCACTTTTCACAAGGAAACTCCGCTCACATTAGGGGTTGTTGTCATCAGAGCACATCACTCCAACCTTTAAGCCATTTTTAATACTTTTGAAGTGCTAGAAATGTTTTCCTGGAGTGCAAGCTTCCTGCTGAGTGGCATGTAGGGAAATAAAAACTCAAACCGTGGCTGTTCTTGGGAGCTTCCAGCCCACTGTGGCTTCATGCAGCCATGCACAGACATTACCTGCAACCCCTGCAGGCACCCCTCTGTTCAGGGACCCCACGTTTCTCCTGGGTGAGCTCCCCCCGTGCCCATGAGCTGCTGCAGAGCCCAACACCACACTGAGGGACTTTTCCCTCCCGGCACGGAGTGCTGCCAGCGGGCTGGGCCATCGCAAAACCAGCCCAGCTGTGACCATCAGTGGCTCCGATTTGCCAAGATGTGCAAATTCACACAATTCGCACAAGAAAATGGCCGTTTTGCTGATGCTTTGCATAAAACAACAATTCAGGGAAAAGGCAGGAAACCAAGCAAAACAGCAGACCCTGTAGCTGAGAAAAGGAGCCGGAAAGACTTACAAACATCAAATACTGCTGCTTTACCTTGCGGCGCACTGCGAGCAACACGCTGCTCTAGCATGGCTGTGGTTACTGTGGTAGGAAGTTTCAGCACAGCTGATCCTTGCCCGGCGAACTAAAACTAAGAAGGTTGCAAATGCACCTCATTACAGCCTTTATGAGCACAGCCTGGCAAGCAAAACACTCCGTTTAGACCAGGCCAAAGCAGCGTATTTTCATAATTGCTGAGCACATTCAGCCAGCAGCATCCATCCCCTCACCGTCTTCCCACCTCCTGCCACGGTTACTGCCTGCCCTCCCCTGAGATAGCCCAGATAAAAAACCTACCAGTCTATAAAACAAAAGGGTATAAAAGAGCACACAGGGTGTATGCATCCCTGTTTCATTTTTATTATCAGTATTAATAATAATGGCCATCCAAGGCTTTTCAATCGCTCTTATTATTTGAACACCTGCTCTTCTCAACGTTGGAATGATTGTTATTTGAGAGAGGCAGTTAAAATGGTTAATGGTGCAAATAAATGAGTCTTTCAAATGTCTCTCTCCTTTGTCACCAATTCCTGGGTAATTTCTAGGTGATGTAACTGTTCTGTTTATTTACTGTACACCGGTACAGACGACCTGCAGTCGGGCTCGGACACCTCCAGCATCAC